TGGGGGTGCTGGGAAAAATAGGGCTCCCAGGATGGGGGCCAAGAGACTGTTTAAGGGACAATCCCCTAGAGCAAAAGAGAAAGAGGGGAGCAAACCTAGCAGGGCATGAACAAGGATGGGGAAGCTGCAGGATGTAGAAGAAGGCCTGCAGGTCATGCTGGAGACCAGTGGACCAGAGCAGATCAGACCAGTAGACCAATGCTGGAGACTGCAAGTGGAATCCCACCGATGAACAAAAGCCAGAGGCAAGCATCAGGAATGACTCTCCTCAGACAACCAAGAAGGAGCCAAGACCAGGGAAGAAACCAGCAATGATACCTGCTGCAACTGTGGAGAAAAACCCAGATTTCGTACCCAGGGGTAAACCATCCTGAAGGGCCAGTCAGTTAGGGGCCATGATGTTTGTGAGCAACCTCTGCTTCAAAGTTGGCTGGGGGGAACTGAAGCAAGTATTCCAAATGGCAGGAGCAGTAAGGTATGCAGATGTCTAGAAGACCAGAAAAGGGAAAAATCAAGGCATGGGAAGAGTTAACTTTGAATGCCCCAATGAAGCTACCAGGGGTGTGCAAAACAGGCCCTACTTGATTCAGATTCAGCCCGAATCAAGGGCAGTGATTCGATTAGCTGATTTGGATTACTGTCCCTGATTCGATTTGGGGGAATCTGAATCTGAAGATTCGATGCTGATTCAGAGAATCAGTGATTCGGACATAGACACAGCTTTACAAGTTTTTTCTACATACCGCTAGGTAGCCGGTGACTCATGACTGCTTCAATGCATGGAGTGTCCCACAGGAGTGCGGGGGGGGAGCCTCCCTGTGCTCAGTAGCAAACCCAGAAGTGGACTGGAAGTATTTCCAGTCCACTTCCAGGTCCACTGGGGAGCATGCTGGCCCTCCCCCATGTCCCTCCCTGCTCAGCAATTGGCTGCAGGGGGACCCCAGGTGCCCCCCCCAGACCCAGGAGGCACCAGTCACCAAGCCAGGGAGGTGTGGGGGTTCCTAGCATACTCCCCAGTGGATCTGGAAGTGGACCGGAAGTGCTTCTGGTCCACTTATGGGTCTGCTACCGAGCACGCTGAGGAGCCCCCTGTGCTTCTGTGGAACACTCCATCCGCCCCAGCACTGCAGCATTCACAAGCTGCCTGCTACCTAGAGGTATGTGGAAAAACCATTTAAAGCTGTGTCTATGTCTGAATCGCCAAATCTTTCTGAATCTCTCCAAATCGATTCAGAGAGAATAAAGGGTCTCCTAATTCGAATCGGATTCAGAGATTCAGCCACCAAATCAGGCCAAATCTCTGCCAAATCGAATCAGGGACTGAAGCTTCGTACAGCCCTAGAAGCCATTCATGCAGTGGCAATGTTCAATAGACTGGCATTATGGGGCAGGCCCATCCAGGTAAAGATGGACCAAGAGGCCGCTTCTTACGGAGACTGTCCAACAGAGGCCTGGGTGGGGCCACAATTGCCTTGGGACTTAAGGAACTTTGGGGTAAGATATGGAGTTGGGGAAAAACTCATCACAGTCCTCTGAGAGAGCAAGACTTAAGGTGGAGGTCTGGCATATGGAAAGATATGAAGGACTGTGCTTGCTACAAGGGCTATGAGTGGCAGGGCAGTCTGGGGCTAGGCAGAAGGGGCCCACAGGAGCAAGTAACTAAGGCCTCAGACAGGAATGCTCAATAAACTTTACCTATGCTGTTGGTAAGAGTACCAAAGGGCCATGAACCACCTGTAAGACGTAAGAAAGGGATGCGAAGTTTGCTTGCTCCTGCTATAGCAGAGAGCAGCCTTGTCCTGAGCCAGATTTCCTCTCTTGGGCTGGAGGGGTGGGGTGGAAGGGGGGGAGGTGGTAAAGAAATTGAAGAGGGTTCCCCACTTGGGGGAAGGTTGTTTAACAGGCAGTATGACTCAGGGGTTGCAGAACAGCTGCAGGCAGTAAGGCACTGATTACAGGCTTGCCAGTAGGACTGGGCCAGCTGCAGAGAATAATTAGCTGGCCCAAAGGAAGTTAAAGGCTCCCGGGGAAGGGAGCTGGAGAGATCTGAGAAGGACTGAGAGAGAGAGAGCGAAAGTGAGCAAGCGAGCAGCTGCAGCACTGAGCCAGGGCACACTCTAAGGGTCTGGGAAAAGACCTTAGTGTGTGTTAACCTTTTATTGTTTATGTAAATATTTATTTTGTGATTTGAGCTGTTCCCTGTGAGGCAAGCGTGCCCAGAAAATAAAGACTGTGTTAAGTGAACACCTAACCCGCTAGAGTGGATAAGGTTCTTTGCCTTGTATTGTGCAAGTCAGACTGGATAATCATTAATTGGCCCTTCTGGCTTTGGAATCTGTGAGACATCAGAATGACTTTGGAGGAATGCAGTAAGGCAGTGGCCCTAGATTTTAGGAGGGCGAACTTCAGCGAGCTAAGGAAGATAGTTGGAGAAGGGCTGAGGTCCCGGAGGGGAGGGGAGACAGGTGTCCAAGGAGAATGGTCGCTCCTTAAGGAGACAATCCTCCAAGCTCAAAGGAAGGTAATCCCAACAAGGATCAAAGGGAGCAGGAGAGCACACAAGCCTCCATGGCTCACCAAGAGTATCCAGGAATGTCTCCTTGCTAAAAATGAGGCTTAC